AGCAATCCTGGCTCCAAGCCCATTAAATTCACCTCTTCTGCTGGGACTCCTGCCCTCAGACTCATCCTCTACTGGGAGGACTGGGGTCCACTCAACAAGGCCACTCACCCTGGCCTCCAGGGTTATCCTCATCCAAATGCTCTTTCAAGGAGACAATGGGTTACAAGGTGAGGGAACCAGGAGCTCCTGGGGAAGACAGCAGGACAGGGCTAGCACATGGCAGAGGATCCTATCTCCAGGGTCAGAGCACATAAGGTCAGAGCTCAAGGTCAGAAGCCTCGAGCTTCTGAATTCACCCCTCACAGGTGAATATGACCAACATCTCCCCACCCATGGCCTGGAAGCACAATCAAAGACATGTGGGTCCTGATGACACTGTTCCTGGGAGCAACCTGCATACTAAGGAGAGGTTACAGGGGCAAAGCCCCCCACAATGTTTCAGAAGGGACAGGAAGCCAGTGTGAGAGCCAATATGCATGCCCCATCCCAAACAGTAAGAATAAACTAACAGTACCTAGGAAGTAGCTAGGATTTGGGGGCCAGGAAATGGACCTGGGGGTCAGAACTCTGGACTTTGGAGACTACCCTACCCACTGGAGAGAGAAGACACCTCAAGGTCAAGACTCCCACAGTGTAAGGGCTGGGGAAGCAACACAGAATCAGGACATGGGACAGGAGGCTCCTCCTGTCCTGGCTGCTGCCTCTGGAGCCAGGCCACACTTCCCCCTGCAGATGTGAGGTGTGTCCTGCCCTCCATGAGCCCAGGGCCCAGAGGGCAGTACCCTAGAAGCCACAAGCCTGCAAGGGCCCCAAGGATGGTGAGAAAGGCACAAGGTGCAGGACACAGTCTCAGGTGGTGATGGGAGCTGCCGCCCACCACACCCAGTCAGTCCTGGGCCACAGGCCCTGGGCTCCTTGTGTATTTTGCCCGGTGGGCCTACTCCTTATGACTAAGAAGGGGCTACAAAGACAGCTGAGTCAGACTGTGCCCTACTCCCCACCTCAAATAGCAGGTGAGCAATTAACTCAGGCCAAAGTCATGGGGTAGGCCTGGATCTCTCCACCCTGGCCCCTCAGCCATGGGAGCTCTACTCCAGAGCCTGTCCCCAGACTGATGTCTCCCACTCACCCCTTACCCCTTCCACTTCCACTGGCCCCTGTGGCCCCCAGATAACCCTGTCCTCAGTTGAGTATCTCTTACTGGTGGGGACTTGACTGGGACATTCCTGTCACTTTTTGGACCCCTTCACTGAGCACCTCTGGGGGACCTAGAGGATGTCCAGTCTATCCTCTGTGGTGACCCCCATCACCCCTAGTTTCCTTAGTCTAAAAGGCAGTGACCTCCTAATTCCCTCCCTGGCTTCAGATAGAAGATTGAGGTTCTACAGCTGAGGGGCTGGACCTGTAAGGACAGCACTGTTCACAGGGCAGGGCTGAGGACTCAACTACTGCAGACTGCACCACCCCAGTAAGGGCAGCCTCCTTGCCTCTCTGAAGCCCAGGGGAAGCTCCCTCAGATTGTTCTCCTTGTGCCCTCCATGGTGCTGTTCTCCATCCTGTGGCTAGAGCAGTGGTCTAAGCCTAGGTCTGGCTGAGTCCCACCCCTCCACACAACCCTGACCAAAGTCCTCTGACACCAGAAGTTGAATTGGCTCAGCCTCACCTGGCTTCACCTGCTCTTCCTCAATGCCCCCTACCAACACATACACACACACACACACACACACACACACAAACACACACACAACCTCCCCATGGCCTTCCTTCAGCCTCCTCCAGATTTCCTCAGCCTCCCCCATTGCCTCTTCTTGCTCCCCCCAGCCTCTCCCTGGCCTCAGCCTCCCTGAGCCTCTCCCTCAACCTCTTCCTGCCCTTCCTCAATCCCTCCCCTAGCCTCACCCTGAACCCTCAGCCTCCAACACTCCAATATCCCTCTTCCTCCAGGGCAACCTCTCTGCCATGAACTCCTGAAGTACCTAGGTCCAATCCAGGTGGAGTCTGCCACTCAATCTGCAGAGGCCTGAGACAGAGCCCTGTGCCTGCCCAGCCTTTGGCACCAAGGGCTCAGGAGGGACTCCTTGTGGGAGAGGAAGGCTGGCCCAAAATGAATCTCACTGGGGACCCCCATGGGGAGCTCATGGACAGAGAGGGAAGCCCCTCACCCACCCAGAGCAGATCCCAGCCTTCAACCATCCCACTGCAGTCACTGTTTGACCTCCTTGCCTGCCATCCTGCACTGGAGACAAACACCCCGGGCATGGATCCCTGACCTCTGTTTTCCTTAGTCCCAGCTGCCAGAATCACACTGCCTGGGTCTCAGGGTCTGTGTCTTACTCCCCAGCAGGGCACAGGTGGCTGGAAGAAGTCTGACCCTCTAACCACAAGGCTGGGTTTGGGAGTTAGAGATGCTCAGAACAGTGTGTCAAAAACTCAACAAGCATTTGGGAAACCAGCAGAAATTTACTCTTGTTGGAAGACAGTGTCTGTGTAACTTGAGAATGCAACAGTCCAGACAATCCCAACCATTTTAAACAAGGACATGGGTTAAACTGTGGGAGCCATGTCTGGTCTGCAAGGCCACAGAGGAGCCCGCTGGAGCCCAGCAATTGTGCAGGGCTCTGATGCTATGTCCACGCCCAGGGGCCTCAGGTGAAGATATGGATGCAGTCACTCTGGTAGGGGTCCTGGAACAGGCTTCGGAGGTTGGCTACATACAGGAGGCTTCTGAAGGGGAAGGTCGGGATCAGCAGGGATCTGAGTCCAGAGTCCACTGAGAGAGGAGTGGCAAGGTGGGGGCTGGGTGTGGGGGTCCCTGCCCTCAAGAGAGGACACTCAACACTGTTGGGGCCAGGCTGGATCTTCAGCTCTTCGTCCATTCAAATCTGGTTTCTCTGAGTCATGGGGGGTCCAGGGTGGACAATGGGAGTGGGCTACAGAGTGGGTTGGGGTCTGATCTGAGTCTGCCCTGGGGCCATGATGATGATTCCATGTGACCCCCATTGGTGGGGGCTGAGTGTGAGCAGGGGCTTCTCTCTGGCTAAGCTTGGCTGAGGAGTGGGGGCAGACATCTGGGCATGTGGAGTCTGAGGTGCGAAGAGAAGTCTGTGAAGGGTGCCTGGTGGGCAGCCACACTTGGGGAGCCCCCTGAGCTGGGCACCTGGAGGTGCTGGTATGGCCTTCAGTGCAGAGTGAGGGAAGGGTCGGTCACAGGGTGGAGCAGGCGCAGGCAGGAGGGAAGTTAGGGACAGGGCAGGATAGGGTGGCACACTCTGAAGGGAGAGCAAGGAGGTGGGGCCACTGAGGGCCACATTGAGTCACCAAGTTCTTGGGGACCTGGACAGGGTCAGCTCAGCAAGTTCTGGATCAAGAGTGGGGTAAGGGTGAGTGACAGGGAGAGGCCAGGTTCCAGGGAGGGCCCAGTGACTGCTTAAGATGGAGATGACTTTGTCCTCACAGGGCCTCCTATTCATGGGTGGCCATCTTAAGCAGAGCCAACAATCCTAGGTTCAAAATAACACTGTCCTGCACATGGCAGTTTCACAGCAGGTCTTGTTAAATGGCCAGTGCCCAGCAGGCCCTCCCTACTGTGAGAGTTATTGCTGGCTCTGGTGGTCACCCATGCTTGTGGACATCCTCTTTGGGACAAGTCCAATCAATCAGGGGATTTGCAGGGCTATGGCCTTTGGGGGCCAGGCAGAATCCTGGTCAGTGTGCTTACCCAATGGCTCCCTATGCGGAGCACAGCAGACCAGGCTTTCAGATGCCAAGTTCCAAATCTGTACTCCTGAGCTGGATGGGAGTTGGCCCCTGGCATGCATGGAAAAGCACTTGCTCACTTTCCACATCAGGTGCTGCAGTCCAGAGAGGAGCAGCAAGGGGTTTAGGAAAGGCTCCCTGGACCCTTGGGAGGCTGGCCCTTCCACAAGCAGTCAGAGTTGGTCCATTTCCCCACACCTGACCTCACAGACCCTGACTGGAAAGCCCAGTGGCAAGACAGAGCAAGGAGACCCAGCGCCAGAGCCAAAGGAGGCAGGATGAGGCAGAAGGATGGAAAGAGCTTTTAAGATACACAAAGTACAAACAAAAGGGATTAAAGGACAGGAGCCATGGGCACAAACAAGACGGGCAGCAGGCAGACTGAAGGGAAAGAAGCCTTCACCAACAGGTACGCTAGTTCTCCAGGCCCAGGAGACTGAGTCTTCTCACCTGCTCTCTCTTCCTCAGTCTATCCCTCCCCTGTCATGCTAAGGACTCAGGGCCTCTCCTGTCCCTCCCATTCCAGAGCCGGGGTGGTGGAAACCTCCCAAGGATAAGTAGCTTGCCTCTGGTCTTGTTTGTCTTGGCCCGGACCTAGGATTGTCCTAGTAAGTTACACGTGGGACCACATCCCCTCCACCTCCAAGAAGACCATTCCTCCAGGAAGACACTGAAGCTCTGATCCTCCTGAGCTCTTAAGAAAACTGACCTTCCTCTCACCTTGCCAGGAGCTGCCTGCGATTCCCACCTTCCTGCTAGCTGACCCAGTGGAGAGAAGAGAAATCTGACAGACAAGGAGTCCTGGGAAAACTGCTCAAAGTTAATGGCATTTTATGAGTAGCATGCTTTTTCTTTTCTGCTCTGGAAGCAAATATCCCTGGGATATCCCAAATATGGCTGGGACTGCAGGTTTGCTCTTCTCAGTGTATTAAAAAGCCCCAAAGATTCAAGCTGTAGGCGCCCTGTGGCAGGCTGCAAGGCAGGCAAACCCAGGACCTGAATGGCCACGGGAAGCTGTGCCCAGGGGTGACCACAGCCCAGAGTCTAGTCCTTCAGAACCCAAGAACGCGACTCCTCAGGTTTGGTCCTTGCTTTTCTAGGGCCCACCGGGGCTGCAACTCACACTGGACGCGCCCCTTCCCCCACAGAAGGGGAGGAAAGGCTAAGGCAAAACGCAGGTCCTGGAGACACAGAGGGCCTAGTGGAGCTGGGGACCCAGAGACCCACAAAGCCCCCCCGCTTACCGATTTTAGCCAAACTGGCCACGAGGATCCAGAGCGCAATGATGTACGGGTCCTGAACGTGGTGCCATTTGAAGGTGACCACCTGGAAGCCATAGCTGGTTCCATTCGCGCCGCCGTGCTCCTCATGGACGCCCCTTGCCTGCGGCAACCCGCCCAGCGCCAGCGTCAGCACCAGCAGCGGTCCCCAGACAGGCACCCGGACCCCACGCCAGGACATCGTAGCAACCGGTCAGCTCCAGGTCCAGAGGCGCATGTCGCGGCGAGTCCCCGCTGCGTTCTGCCGGAGGCTCGCGCTGCGGCCGCGGAACGCGTCGGGCAGCGCAGAGCTCAGCGCGCTGCGGGTCCCCGCCCGCCCGGGTGGCCTTTAATCCCGCGGCCCCTGGGCGGGGCCTTACCGCCCCCGCCAAGCACACGTGAGTACAGACACCGTCGCACGCTCGCGGCACGCCCGCCTGCCCTGCACACGCCCATCTGGCTGGACTGGCCCCCGCCCAGATGCCCGCGCTCCCCAGGACCAGTCGGATGGGGACCCGCAGCTGGAAGGCGCCAGCGAGGAGGTCCGCGAGGTCGCACCGCGGACATCCAGGTCGAGCCCAGACCCTGCGTCTGCCTAGGATGGAGCGCAGCTCAGAGTGGCCTGCTGGGTCGGGTCCTTGGGACTCTACCCTATGGGTGGGACCTGCGTCTCCATGGGCCCTGGCCCTGCCGTTCTCCAGGTTCCCCACTCACTTCAGCCGCTCCTGGTCTGTGCGCGCAGGATACCAGAATAGCAGAGCCCACACAAGGGTCAAGGCCCTTGCTAGAAGGGGAACTGGACTGTGGGTGTCAGCCGTGTCTTTTACCAGAATCTGCATTCCTGAGCACTATGGAACACTTGTGGCGCTAGGACCTTCCTCCAGAGTCCTGTGCTGCACTCCGGGAAGCCTCTCTGCCCCTCACAGCTTCCTCAGAGGGACTCCTTTGTCCTGGCCGGAGTCCACAGGGCATGGTCCCTCCAATCCCAGAGACAGGACTGGAATATCCTTTATGCTCCTAGGTGTTAGATTGACACTTGTGTTTGTGCTCAACCCCTCCTCACTCAGCATGGCAACCTAGGACCTCACTTGGGCCTCTTACCACACCTCTCCTGCCCTCCCCAACCCACATGTGCATACAGCCCTGGGCAGCCCCTCTCTTAACCATGCCCAAATCTTGGAGGCTTGAAAGGCTTAACCCCACTCACCTGTCCCCTCAGGCCTTCCTGTTAGGATCTCCAACCCAGAGGGAAGGCCTCCCCAAGGTCAGCCCTCCATTTGACCCCAGCCTCTGTTGCCTCCCCCCTGTAGGCCTCTGCTGAAGGCCCTTGCAGACCTCCCCATGCTCAGTCCCTGATCCCTGAAGTCTTGGCTCCAAAGTTCTATCCCTGACCCTGAGCTCATGGTTGTGATACTGAGGTCTGGCCTCACTGGCTCCTCTCCTCATCTCATTTACCACGTCCTGCACTGTCTGTCACAGGCTGCCCTCTCCATGGGATATCTGTCTATGAGTGAGACAGGCTCACAGCTGCACCCACAGGGCTTGGAACTTGTGAAATATGATATGGGTGGATGCAAGTGGAGGTGCCTTTAGTATGAGCATGGGTCTGGGCTCCCAGAAGGCCCAAGGAAGACAGCACTGAGCTATATGACTTTGTCCCTTGGTGTCCATATTTCATGCTGATAGGAGGTAGCCTATGTAGCAGAGAGGGTGGATTCAAATCCTGCTCAGGTAGGTGGTTCAGTCAGGTGGCTGGGTGCTGAGTGGGGTGGGGGGGGGTGACTGGACTGAGCTAACCACAGGGTCTGGGACACAGCACAGGGCCACCACAACTATGTGACCCTTGTGTGGTGAGCCACTGGAGTTGCTCCCCGCTGGTGTGTCTCAACTCAATATGCTTGTTCCCAGCCCTACTCCCAGCATCAACTCCCGAGAAAGACCATCTGGACAGAGCAGACTTAGCTTCAGCCCAGAGACCCCTCACTTCCCTTTTCTATGGTTTCTGGATGCAGCCTCCAAGAGGGGCATCCTTTTTTGGAGATGCTGCCTTCGGGTTCCACAGGAAGGTCAGATCCTGTGAGAATGGTACGTGCTATATTACCCAACGACCCTCTTGTCACCTTGCCCTTGGGGCAGCAGAAACCCACCTGACCTAAGAGCCTGCAGCACATGTGCCATGAGCCCACACAAAATTCAAGGGCAGCAGAGCGTGTCACTGTGTAGACATGAGACCATAAGATGAGCACCATTTCCGTCCCCGGCCATCAAGGGTGTGCTGCCACACTGAAGCCCCCACTCCTCTGACAAGGGAAAAGAATGACTTGGAGGGTGGGAAGGCAATGCACCCTGAAATGTCACCAACAAGAGCAGGGAGCACCCCTGCCCACCACTTGTTGCTCAGGTGAGAGTCTGGCTTTGTGACAGAGGTTATGGGCAGGCACTTCAGAATGAAATGCACCTGTGTGGTGTGGGCAGCCCTCATGGCCTCTTTTCCTCTAACCTCGCCGTGATTTTATGAGGCCCAGAGCATCTCAACAGTCTAGGGCCACCACCCATCTCAGCAGACTGTATGAACAGAAGTTGTGGACACACCTGTAAGAATCTGATGACTGCCCACTCCCTCCTCCATCAGGCAGACCTGAACAGCCTTCTGGAGGCCCGGCCTCTCCTATGGGTTTGCCTGCACACACCCGGAGGGACTGTGTCCATACAAGGAGCCCAAAGATGTTGAAGCAGTGCAAAAAAGCAGTCAAAAAACAACCAATCTTCCCACATGAACTTTAAAATTAAAGTGAAAAATACCTAGTCCATCACACAAACTCCTGATTATGAATTTCATTTGCATGAGTTGTGAAAAACATTTTGTGAATAAAGAGGCAAATGGTTTAGAATATAGCTGTGTATTTGTTGACAATACTTGAGAAATGAAAGTGAGTTTTTAAGTGTAAAGGACACCTTACACCTGCCCCCTACAGGTTTATCTATACACATAGAGAAACTGCTGGCCAGCTCTGTGCAGAGAAGGAAACTGAGCTGGGACGGGGCAACCTTCTTCCCCTGATCATTCAAGATCCTCAGTCGCCAGACACTTGGAGTCCTCTCTGGGGCCCTTCCAGGAGCCAACATCACCAGCCAGGGCAGACTTAGTGTGTCTCACAATTGCTGGAATACAACTGTATTTCTCAGAAACAAGCGCCTGTGTCTGCCTGTTGGTGCCCTTGAGACCCCAGGTTGCAGGCGCGTCTGATCAGGCACGGGCCTTCACAGACCTAAGGCCTTGCAGGGCCTTCCAGTGTCCAGGCAGGCCGGGGTCTCACTCCCTGTAGCGGCCTCCAGTGTGTTCTACCTTGCCCTCCGTGAGAATCACCTTATGTTGTCCCTAGGACACGCGGGCTCACCGGGCCGACTCGGCCTGGACGAGGGGCGATCCCGGGAAACCGCGGCCCCGGCTGGGAGCACCGGAGTCGCCGCCAGCACGCGGGCCACTGCCGGGGCCTCGGGGATCCGGAGGTAGAGCGTTAGGGGCCGCCAGCAGCTTGGTGCCGGGGCTCTGCGGGTGCGGGGTCCACGCCCTAGAAGTGGGGGAGGGGCGGGGAGCACCGGCTAGGGGCTGGGTCGCGGCTGGTGGGGGTGTGGGGGGCAGAGAGCGAGGCTGGGGTCTGGGGGCGGGGTAGGGGCGGGGAGCACTGCGGGGGGGGGCAGGGGGCGTGGCTTGCGAGGATGTGGGAGCAGGGGGCGGGGAGCGCTGCCGGGGGGGGGGGAGCAGGGGCGTGGCTTGCGGGGATGTGGGGAGCTGGGAGCGGGGCTGGGACCGTGGGGGCGGGCTGGCAGCGAGCACCCGTCCACACGTGACCCCCTCCCACCCGTGGCCCAGCGCATCCCGACCCCAGAAGCCCTGCGAGACCCCTCTGCACTCGCGGCCTCCGAGCCTCATCGGGACTACTGCCCACCCTTGGGGGCGCCAGGGACCCTTCCGCGAAGTGACCCCTCAGACGCCACTCTGCTCCCCGGTGGCCGCATCTTCCCTGGGAAGGCTCCTCTCCCAGACCTTTCCACAGGATCCCCTGACGGGACTCGTGCCACGGACCATGCCCCAGCGCCAGGGCTGCAATCCCTCTCTCCCCTGCATCCGTGTGGCCATGGACTGGGCCGCCGTCCCCTTGTCCCAGGGGACACCGGCCTCCCCGGGACTTTTCGCAGGCCGGAGGCCGCGGCCCTCCTCCCGCCACAGCCGCGGCCACCGCGGTCGCTTCTTGCAGCCTTGGACTCTGACCTGGAAGGGCTCGGCTCCGGTGCAGCCTGGGGACCAGATGGAAACAGACCAGATTGGACCCGCTGCTCCACTGACCTTGGGTGGCTGAGTGACCAACCGTCCCCAGGCGAACAGCTAAAGGCAAGGACAAGACTTGTCTCATTCGTGAACAGAACTGGAGAAGCAAGATTCCAAACTGAACCCAGCAATGGAGGAAGGAGCTAATAGACCTTGACTAAGCTGGGCTTGTCCACGCTGTGTTGATGTTAGAAAGGCAGTTGGAGCAATTGATTCATCACTGACAGATGGGAGAAGGGGCAAATCCCACTAGCCTGATAAATGCCTATGACAGCCTGTAAAATCTGGGAGGACCAGTCACTGAGGAGTAGGCAAGGGTTTCTCCTGACAGCAGAGACAAGGTGCCTGCTGCCCACTAATGGGCATCCTGGTGCCTCAGATCCTAGTCAGCACCTGGGGCAGAGAAAGTACCAGGTGTGACAATCCAAGAAGGAGAAATAGAACAGCAGTCCTGAACATATAAGGTGACTGCCAACAGGTCAGACAGACCCCAAAGAGCTAGTAGACAAATCACTGCCTGGTGTTTCCCAAGATTATATGGACTACTGACCACAAAGCAGATTAGTTGGTATAGCTACACACAAGGGCAGGACCTGTTAAGGGTTCATTTCTCAAAATGACTCTCTGTCATTTAGCTGTGTGCCACACAGTGTTAGAATTACTAAGAATCAGTAAGATTGCTGTTTTCGAAGTCAACATTCCAAAACCAATTATGCTTCTATACACTAGCAATAAAATTTTTAGAAAATGAAAGTTAATTTAAAAATACTATTAATATAGCATCAAAAATATGAAATGCCTTGGAAAAAATCTAAGAAAAGGTGTGGGAAATACTAATGCATAATGGATTAGTGAATCGTCAGCTCTGGAGTTTACTTTGTGGAAAGATTTTAAGTTATGGATTCAATTTCTCTGATAAATCTCAGAT